CAATAAGGCTAAGCTTTCTTTACTTATTCAAACATTCTTTCAAAAGTATCTACATTTGAATCAGATAGCAAAATATCATCCTCGTAATGGCAAATTATAGATTCAGGAAATTGCTTGTGTATCACTTCCAATGGTTGACATACAAAATATTGGTACGGGGTAGGGCTATTTAACGTTACCTTGGAAGAATCATCTATTGATATCTTTTATTAGGTTAAGAATTATTATTAGTAGGCACTGTGAAGGCAAATTTTTCTCTGTCCTTTTCTTGTAAAGGTATAGTGAAGAAACAATCTTTTAAATCAATACCTATAGGAGGCCATCATTTAGGCAATAGGGAAGGCAGAGGAATTACATATTGTAGAAGGACCAAAGGTTGGATAACCTTGTTGACAGCTCTTAGATCTGTTACAATTCTCCATTTTCCAGATTTCTTTTTAACAACAAATACACGAGAATTCCAAGGGCTGGTTGATTTTTCAATATGGTGAGGTCTAGTGGCTCCTGTACCAGCTGTTCTGAAGCCTGCAGTTTGTCTTCTGTTAAAGGACATTGCTTAATCCAGACAGGTCTGTCTGTCAACCATTTTAAAGCTAGGATTTTTGGTACCTCTGAGAGGTCGCTAGTTGTTATTCTCTGTTTTTTCACAGTCAGTGATTGTTTTATATAGTATCTTATAATATCATTCCCAGAAACATGAATTGGTTTGTGTTCTATTTCTGAGACTGCAGATGGGTATTCCATTGCTGCAATAGACCATGAACCCATAGATTCACTGTTATGTTAGCCACATGTGTGTGTACTCAGCCTTCCTCTCTGTCCGTCTGGCCCTGTGCATTCAGCCCATCTTGTGTTTTGTTTCACTTGAGATAGGGCTCCAGTTCCTAGGAACCGAACACCTGCCTGCTGAAGAGGCCAATCTGGATGCCAAGATTCTGGAGTAATGATAGTCACATCTGCACCTGTGTCTAATAATTCTTCAATTATAATGTTATTTACTCATACTCTCAGCTTTGGACTTTGATTATTAATAGAAGTCTGCAAAAGTGTATATTTTCTATTTTCTACTGGAATTTTTTATTTATCCTCCATGGTTATTCTATCATCAAGAGCAGTATGATTTTTTACAATAGGCAATGAATTTTCTAATTTTCCTGGTGAGACATGTTCTCCACAGTGACTATGAATAATTGGACCCCTTTTGTCCTGAGAACTTGTGAGAGGTCCCTCGAGGGGTTTCCCAATGGTAATGGGTTGCCTTGTTTGTCTCTTGTTGATCATTCATTGGTCCAGTGTTGGTCTTTGCCAAACCTCCTACATAATCCAGAAGATTAAAAACTTCTATTTTTGTCATTTCCAGAGGAAACACTATTTCTAGGAATGTCTTGCCTACAATCCCTTCTCAGATGTCCTATTCTACCACAATTAAAACATTTGGCATTTTGATGTCTCCTCACACCATTGGAAATTGCTTCCCCTACCCAAGTCTCAGTATTATAGTCAAATATCTCAATATTCATTGTATGCAGGATCCATCCATCCATTGGTGCTGATCTGACCTTTAAAGGCCCAGGTATCTTTTTGCATTCTAAGTTGGCATTTTCAAAAAGTCAGAGATTCAATAAGTACTCATCTAGCTTCTGGATCCATTACCCCTATTTGTACAGCGTTAGTTAATCTTTGTAGAAGGTCACTAAAGGTTTCTCTTGGGCCTTGTTTAACCTTAGTATATGATTCTACTCTTCTTCCTGGTTCCTGAACCCTGTCCCAAGCATTTAAGGATGCTGTATGACATAGGGACAGGGTGTGTTCATTGTAAATAGTTTGACTCTGTGGATTAACATAACAGCCCTTGCAAGAACTTGAACTTGTGAACCCTCTGATCCTTTGATCCTTCCTTGCTGTTCTAAGACTTTAGCTTCCTCTCCAATAGCACTTCCACTGTAACTGCAGACCATCTGCAAGAACTGTTGGGATTAATTGAAGCCAATCATGTGGAGTAACCTTACTGCTGGGAGCCCATGTCTTCACCATCCCCCTCACATGTGGTGACTGCATGCCGTAAGGTGCTCCTGCTTCTTTGATATCTTTTAGATCTTTCACACATAAAGGTTCCCATTACATTCTCTATATCATTTGGGTATTTACTATTTGTTGGCTTTTCATAATCATAAGGATAAGTATCAAAAACTCTTGGTAAGTCATCTCTGACTCTGAGAGGAACTGGGGATGTTGAGTCTTTACTCTTGTCTTTTGTCTGTATCTCTTCTCCCTGTTTATCAGGTCTGAGAAGTTCTTCAATGGTTTCAAATCTATGTATCACTGTCTTTTATTCTGAAGTCCTTCACCTGTGAATAGTTCTAATGATTTCATCAAATCAATTAATTTCTGGTTCTCATCATGTACATGTGATTCCAAGTCTTTCAGTCTTTCCATTAATGATATCTTCTCATCCTTGGAAATTGTTTGGATGGCAAGTAGATTGTCTTCCAGAAGAAATGTTCTATCTGCTGGTGTGTCATAACTTTTTAACAGATTTAATGGCCAATTTCAACAGTATGAATCCTTTCAGATAATCTCTCAGTACAATTCTGTAAGGTTGCCATGGAGTGACTTTTGCCTGACACATTATAGTTACCATTTTCAATGGTATGAAACCTTTCAGCCAACTTCTCATTACTAGTCTGTAAAGTCTTTATCATTTCTAAAAGTTTCTCATTCTTGGGCTGGAGAGATGACTCAATGGTTAAGAGCACTGGCTGCTCTTCCAGAGGACCCGGGTTCAATTCCCAGCACGCACATGGCAGCTCACAACTGCCTGTAGCTTCAGCTCCCTGGAAGCTGACACCTTTACACCAATGCACATAAAATAAAGTTAAAATAAATTATTTTTAAAAGCTTCTCATTCTTGATGCTGTTATCAAACCATTTCTTTAAGAATATAATATGAATTATCAAACTAATAGGAGTTATGGCTAAGAATGTACACATCCTAGGTAGGCCATGTACTTCTTTTAGAGTTCTCTTCATATTAGAAATGCAAAGGTTATTAAATTCCTGGATGATATTATCTGCCATTATCAGATGACTTACCTCTGTTAAAATCCTGGTTCAGACGAGAACTTTAAGGTGTAACAATTATGTGGGCCAGCAGGTGTCGCAGTTATACCACTAAAACAGTCCAGAGACGCTGACACTCTGGGCTTACTTATTCCAATGTGAATAACCTGTGGGTTTTCTAAGCAGAACTCAAAACCAAACTGAATGAATTTTTTGTTTTATTTTATTTTATTTTTGGTTTTTTAAGACAGGCTTTCTCTGTAGCGTTGGAGTCTGTCCTGGAACTCGCTCTCTCTCTCTCTCTTTTTTTAATGGTTCCTCATTATTTATTAAGTTAGGGGTCTACATTGAGTCAGCCACCATAGTGTGGGCACGTGGCCACGCCCACTGCTAGGTCACCTTAAGAAAATAACTTTCGAATTGCATTTGAACTGCAATAACACCAACCTGGAAGAAAAAATACCCCCAAACCAATGCTGCCTACACAAGAGAGGGCTCATAACTAGTCTGGAACTAGCTCTTGTAGTCCAGGATGACCTCGGATTGACAGAGATTCGCCTGCTTCTGCCTCCCGAGTACTGGGATTAAAGGCGTGCTCCACCACCGCCTGGCCTCTGGACGGATTTTTGTTAAAGAGATGCTGGTCAATGTAGCCCTGCAGTGCGTGTTCACAGGCCGCCTGAGGCAAGGGAAGCCAGGGTAAACTGTGTGCGAGCTGAATGCGGGGCTGGCAGCAAGTGAGAGATTCCTGATGGCAGCAAGTCGTGGATGCCACAGAAAGCTGCAAACAGGCAGGTGGGCACGAGAATGGGAGTTCTCCTGAACCCAGGTGCAAGTGGCTCTGGCCTGGGCAGGTGGCTAAAAAGCCTTAGGCAAATGGCTTTTTTTCGTGAATTTGTATCCCAAACGTTAGGTGCCAAATGTTGCATGATTAATAAAAACCAGAGCTAGAAATTGGGGTTCAACTTGAAGGTCAGAAAAGCAAAATAGCCAGTCACTGACTCTTACTGTACCTCAGTCCGAAACGGCAATCCTGCCTCCAGGAATCTCAGAATGAGAATGATTGAGAACTGTCTCTCCAATTTTACAATCCTCTCTAGTTTTGGGATTAAAGGCGTGCAGCACTGAGATTAAAGGCATGCACCATGCGGTTTCTATGGCAACTATTGTGGCTACTGGGATTAAAGGTGTGTGTCTCCATTGCCTGGTCTGTAAGGCTGACCAGCGCAGCTGTTTTACTCTCTGATCCTCAGGTAAGCTTTATTTATTAAAATACAAATGAACTATCACTACACTTGAGCTTCCAAGAGCTGCTTTCTTTGTTAAGATTAATTAATTCTATTTAATTCCTGTATCAGTGTGCCTACATCCATGTGAGTGCGATGCGCTTAGAGGCCAGAAGAGGGCGCAGGGGTGCTGGGAACACAGTCTGGACCTTTTAGTTGGAGAGCCTTCTCTGCAGCCCAAGCTTCCAGCCCTGTGGTAGCCTGGATTGATTGGTGGATTCCTCACCAAGCCCGCATCTCCCGGTGTGCCAGCCCTTCTCTAGCTTGTGAACTCCTATGTATCCCACAGAACTCTCTAGAGCAGTGACTCTGAACTAGTGGACCACAAATTCTTTGGGGGGTGGAGGGTGTTGAATGACCCTTTCACGGGGGTCACGTATCAGATAATTTACATTAAGATTTACAATAAGCAAAAGTATAGTTATGAAGTAACAACAAAAATGCTTTTATGGTTGGGGTCACCACAGCATGAGGAACTGTATATAAGAGTCGCAGCGACAGGAAGATTGAGAACCGCTGCTCTAGGGGTTCACCTACTTCTCCCTCCCTTTAGTGTGGGGAGTCAGAGCACGTTGCCCTGGAGATGAAATGCATTATGGGTACCATTACCTTCCCTTCCTGGTCTGGCTTTGGAAGACAGAACAGGAACATGGATTCCTTTTTATTTTGTTAGAAAAGTGTTTATTTAAAGAATACTAAAAGGTCCGGGCCTGCTTGGAATGGAGGAGGGAGGAGTCTTGACTCAGTCTGGAGCCCAGCCTGAGCTGGGGGAGCAGAAGTAGGCGGGAGGGCAGGAGGTCCCGGAGCACCTTAGCAACTGGTGAGGTACATCCCTGTGGGGACAGAGCAGGGGCCTGGCGTGGGTTCCTTGCGTGGGCTCCTCTGCACTTGGCCTGGGAGCCCAGCCCTGCCCTGCAGCTACCTGTGGCGAATCTCCGCTTCACCAGGGACATGCGATAGCCGCCGCCCAGCAACTCCAGGTCCAGACCGGACAGCGTGGCACCCTCACTGGTGAACTGCGCGGCCACGGGGCTGGGGGTACTGGGCCCTGACTGCGGCTGCCAGCTAGCGGACAGGCGGCCGGAGCCTGCGGGGCCTGGGGTCAGGAAGCGCTCCTGCCGCAGGCCCTTAGCACTGCCCACCCTGTCCCGAGAACCCTGCTCAGGGATTCTTCAGGTCCCATGTGCCAGAGTATCCCCAATTTTAACAAGTGCTGCCTACCCATGATTTCTCCCACGCAGCAGCCCTCATCGTAGCTGTGACTCACCTCCTGCCTCACACACATCTGGAAGCTTCCACGTGAACCTCTTTTCCTCTGTGCTCCTGGTAGCAAGGGAAGATGGGTGAGCAGCCGAGTCACCTGTGTGGGACCTGTTAACCTACTTACTGTCCAGCGGAGCCTCCGTTTCCCCACCCGTCCATGAGCTACAGTGGCACAGCTACCCCAGGGCTCTGAAATCCTTTGTTTGTTGGCCTGTTTTCACAGCGGGACTGGGTGGCTCACCAGCTGGCAGCAGGCTGCAGACGCACGCTGGTCACCGGCTCTCCCACAGGTAGCAGGATTTGGACATTTGTTAGCGGCGTGGACACCGTGGTGGCGCCCGCACGGTAGCTGTACTCCACCGTGACCCGCGTGAGCGTGGGCCCGCACTGCCAGTGGGCGCTCATTTGCAGGGGCACTGACTCAGGCCCAGGCCGGGAGAACTTAAAGATAAGACAGAGGTGGCTGGGCGACATTGCCACGTCCCGCCCCCCCCACACACACACACAAGGATTCCACCTAGTCCAGTGCAAGCAATATGCAACCACTAGGACCACATGCAGTATTCCGTGCGGCCAGCAGGGAACAGAAGAGCGCACAGACACCAGAAACCCCTCGCTCACTTGCAGAATTCATGCATCCCGTCCCGCCCCGCCCCAGCACCCCACCTGGTAACGCAGCAGCACCAGGTTGTAGTAGGAGGCGGTGGGGTTCTGCTCCGCCTGGTGTTGCAGGGCCTCTGTCAGCGCCGTCATGTTCAGCCAGAAGTCTTTCGTCTCTGGGTCACTCTGGGAGGGGTCACTGCAGAAATGGGGACAGAACATCCTCATTCTTCAATAAATGCTCTCCTACTCCAGTCTGAGCTGCCGTGGGTGGGAGAGGGAAAGTCACCCGCCTCACATCACAGAGCAAAGGGCAGGAGGCACTGTAGGCATTTTAAGACCCTGAGCCCCTGGCAACTTCTCCCACCACCCATGCAGGGCACCTGAAGATCAAGTCAGCGTTGGGCTGAAAGTGTTCCACCGGCGCCGTGTGCACGAGCCTGAAGCTGAGGACGGGTGGGGGTGGGGTCCCACTGAACACTCGCACAATGCCCGCTGGAAAGGTCATGGTCAATTCCCCAGTGATTCGAGCCAGGCAGCTGGGGAGCCGAGGAAACACGGGATGTGGGATCCGGGCTCTGCGTTTCCCACTCTCTTGGTTCCCCTGGCACCCAAATCTCCAATGAAGCTCTAATTGTTCCCAGCACCCTCTCCCCAATTTCTTTCTCTCCCATCCCCGCCTGGCAGGGTGAACCCCCCACCATCACCACACACAGTCTGGACTAAGAAAAGTATCTCCCCTAGGTCCTTTTTCTCCTGGACCACCAGAAATCTCAAACAAGAATAACTCGTGTTTTGAGCAACCCTAGCTTGGGTTTAGGGTCTAATAGTCCCTCTTCTCTGTGGTTTAATTAAGGTCTCCTTTTGTCAACCACAGGAATGGCAAGCCTGCTTCAAAGTCCCTAGTTCACCCCCAATGCCCTTCAGCTCAATATTCATGGCCTCCTTAGAGGAACCTCAGGGTTCCCTAGCCTCAATCAAATGCCCTCAGGTTAACCCCGTGACAGTGTACCTGGGGCTGTGGCCACGGAAATAGGCATGGACATACTCAGTGAAGGCTGTAGCCACAGGCAGGGTGTCCTGGGACCCCAGGACCACTGGGCTGGGGCCACGGGAGATACCTGCGGGAAGATGGGGGTCAGCAGGACAAGCCTCACCCACTTAACCAGCATCCCAGAAAAGAGGCCCCAAGGCCCTAAGGGGAGCTGTCCCTACAAACCATGCGCCATCTGAGTGGAGAAGCCAGGCCGATCATGGGCGATGCTGGGGGCAGAAGATCCCAGAGGGGAGGGGCTGAGGGATCGGCACTGCAGGGAACGAGAGGATCAGGGCTGTGAGCTGCCCAGAGCTGCCTACAGGGGCGGCCCCTTCCCGACAGAAACCGCCTCACCATGCCACCCACCAGGTCACCGTTGCTCCTAGTGAGCGGGCAGGACACTTTTCGGGACCGAGGTCTCCTGGGTGGTGCAGCCAGGCCCTCCCTGGGGGCGGAGTCAGCAGGCAGCGTGGAGTCTAGGATGAGGACAGTGCAGGGCTGGCTCCAGCCGGAGCTGGGGGCGTTAGCCCTTAAGAAACAATGAGCTGAGGACTTCTGGGTAAGAAGAGCCCAGGCTGCAGAAGGACAGGAGTGTGTCGTTGCTGGCGACTCAAGAGGTGGGTAAACCACACCTAGGCCTCCGTCACTCTGGTGTCACATCCGCTTAGCTCCGCCAAGAACCAGATTCTTCCCCGTGGATACCAGCTGCCCGCCAGTGTGACCACCTCAGGTGGCAGTTATGAGAGCCTCACTGCTCTCTCCCCGTCCCACCCTCCAGCTACTTAGGCTCTAGGTTGGGTGTTTTCCCTGTAGCCTGCCTGAGTGGGCTAGATGCCCATTTTGATGACATCTGCATTCAGCAGTGGACACAGGGTTCAGCCACACCCCCTTCAAACTCGAGTTCACAGATGTCTTAGGTCCACCCATCCTTCCAGCCGCTGACTCCTGCAGCACACCCCCAGCCTCGTGGCCGAGAGGAGACTCCAGCACCACACATGGCCAAGTCGACACCCACCTTCCTGACACAGGGCCTTTGCTTGACCATCAGATGGTCCCACCTAGAAAGGCCTCCACCTGGCACCCAGTCTTCCAGGGACACCCGCTGGGCTCACCTGTGCCTGCCTCTGGCCCCCACGGGCCTGGCGAGGGTGCACGGGGAATCGGGCCCCTGCCCTCTGGGTGTTGCATCCTGCAGGTGGGTGGGCTCTGCGGGGTGCCCGGCCGGGGGACCCAGGACTCAGGGGATGGGTCGGGGGCAGCATGCGATGGAGAGTCCAGGCCTGAGTCCTCCACATTCTCAGGGGACGAGGAAGAGAAAGGGGATGGGCTGGATGTGAAGCCCAGGCTGCTGGAGCCTAGGAAGGGGCAGGGTCAGGGGCGTGGTCAGCATAGTCCACGCCCACATCCAGATGTCACCTCCCACATTAGTATACCGTCCACACGCCCATAGCCATGCCCCTCCAACCAATGGCCCACCCACTGTGGGGCCCTGTCCAGCTCTCCCTCTACCCGTGAAGTCCTCGTGGTCAAAGGCTGACTCCAGCGGCGGCCCAAAGAGGCTCTTGGACAGTGGCTCCTCCGAGGCCAGCGGCCTCTCAGCACAGCTGGGGACAGCGACAGGGGCAGGGCCGAGTCTGGCACCTGAGGCCTTCCCAGTCTTTCAGCTCACCCAGCCTGCATCACCCACCCAGCGCAGCCTGCATCACCATGCTAAGACCAGACTTTGAAGCATTTTGACCCCATGTTTGGTGAGGCAGGGTCTTACTCTGCCCAGGCTCCTGAGCGCTGGGTGACATGCCAGCTTCATCCACAATTAAAGCCCCTAGAGTGTCCACAGGCCTCCCAGGCCCAACACAACACAAGCAGACAGCAGGTGCCTCATAAGTGTCCAATAGCCTCATAATGAGGAAGCGGGAGGGGGGGCCCATCTGCCTGCACAGTCATGTCCCCGCGAGACCCACCTGCCGGTCCGTGGGGCTGACTGAGGTCTCTGTGGCTTCCCAGAAGTGTCCCCTAGGACAGACAGGGCCTTGAGCTTCTGTCACACCAGGACCACTGCTGGCATTTGTCAGACAGAGGCCCAAGGTGGCAAGCATGGACAGAGGGGACAGCAGCTTGGGGTTCTAGTTCTGCCCCCAGCTGCCCATGCACCTTGTGGTTAGTCCCACAGTGAAGCTGTTTGGTGGAGGAGGAGCCCGAGGGTGAGCAATCCCATTCCCAGGCATCCAGGCCTGCTTCCCCTCCAAGGGCACCTTCTAACCCCAGACAGGCTGGGCTACTCACTTGAAGAGTGACGTTTCATGGTGCCCTGAGGAAAAAGGGAGAAACCAACTAACTTGAGGCCCAGCTGCAGCCTGCTGGCTCCGGTGCCCCTCACGGTCCCAGTTGCCCAACTCACCCCTGGTCCTGGCGGAAGGATGAGGCTGCCGGCTGTGGCCCTGAGCTGGGCAGCTGCAGCCTCAGAGCTGCAGGCCGCCGTGCGGGGTGGGGCAGGCTTGATGTGAACATAGAACTTTCTAGGCTCCTCGTCATCAAAATCAGAGTCACTAGAGGAAAATCGCGGGGGCTCGGCCGTGGGTGAGCCTCTGTCAAGGAGCCAGTCTTGAATCTGACCACACTTTCCACCCAGAGGCCTATGATCAGGAAACTACCCGGGGAGCTTCTAGACAGCCACTACAGTCCAACACTAATGCCCTTCCTCCAGGAAGCCCTCCTGGGTATTCCACCATAAAAGCCCACCTTGTCTTGTCTGTCCATCTTTATTCTGAAACAGGATCTCTCTACATAGCCCAGGCTGGCCTGGAACTTACTGACTGGGCTCACACTCCAAGATTCAGCAGTCTCTGCCTCCCGTGCTGAGTTAAAGAGACACATCCCCACTGCCCGACTCTCACCCCCCTAACACAGGACAAGGGCCTGGGCCTGGCTCTCCCCAGGGGGACACAGTCACAGACAGGATATTGTTGTGAGAGACATCAGGGCGCACAGTGAAGCCTTCCTCGTCTACCTCTGGAGGCACCTGGGGAGGCAGAGTCAGGTCCCTTAAGACCCTTTGTCTTGATCCCTCAACTCCCACCAGAATATATTCCAGGATGTAGGTAAATCCCAAGGGAAACTGAGCCACGGTAGAGCTTTCAGTCCCTCACGGTGGGGATCACAGAGACCAGACCGGACTCTGAGCCCCACCCTGGGCCCCTCTGGCCTCCTCAGGCCTTGAAGATCAAGCCCTGCCCACCCTCTGCCCCTCCTCCACAGAACTTACCCCGGAATCAGACTCCAGGAAGTCACTGGGAACAAAGGAACAGGGGTGAGTGGCTGGTGCCAGCAGAAGCGATGCCCACCATATTGCCCCAAGCTAGCCCACAGGCTGGGACCCTGGGGCTTCTTTGAGTTTGTGAAGCCGGGCAGCGGTGGTGCATGCCTTTAATCCCAGCACTCGGGAGGCAGAGACAGGCAGATCCCTGTGAGTTCGAAGCCAACCTGGTCTACAAAGAGAGTTCCAGGACAGGCTCTATAGCCACTGAGAAACCTTGTCTCAGAAAATAAGAGAGAGAGAGAGAGAGAGAGAATATGTGGGGGTATCTAGAGGGAGCTGTCAGAGACAGCCTCTAACAACAGAGCAGATGAGGAGCTAGCCTTGGTAAAGGAAGGGATCATGTCCAACCTACGTTACAATGGGCCAAGCAGCTTCTGGCCCACCTGGGTGAAAGGAAGAATTCCAGACTAGTTTGGGGTTGGGGAGTGGCTCTGTTGGACTAGCCTGGGACAGAGGTCTTTCTGGGCTAGCCCAGGCTGAAGTGATCCTGGGCTGGTCTGCCATAGGGAGAGTGCCATAGGGAACTTCTATGCTAGCTGGAGCAAGAGGCAGAATTTTGGTCTAGCCTGGACCAAGGTGGAGCACTTTCTCACACAGAGGCACGCGGCTCCCTCCGGCTCAGTCCTGGAAGACGGAAGGCCTTGGCTCCTCGGAGGCGTTTCATTGCTGTAGACACAGGGTGGACATGCTAACCTCTGGAAGGTTCTCCCCCTTTCTATTCAGAGCCCCTTCCCATACCCCTGATCTAGCCTGGGCATCCAGGCCCAGACGTACTTGCCTTCCTGCAGGGCAGCTGTGCTGTAGGCATCAAAGTCCAGAGGCCCTGGGGCAAAAAAAAATTAAAAAAGGCATCTGAGAGGCAGAAGCAACGTGGCAGGGATACCAGGACACCGGGCTCCACAATGGGGGCCATGGATGGTGTGAGGGGAACCTAGGCGTGGCAGATGCGGGCAGGCTGGACGGCAAGCCGGCAAGGAGGAAGGCTTTCCTGGTCACCTGGGTCTGGGGACACAGCCTGCCACCATTTAGGGGATTGTGATTTCCACTTCAGTGATGAGGAAGCGCTCAGAGACATGCAACTATAGTCTCAGTGCCAACAGTGAGCAAAGGACCCAAGCCCGCCTATCCCTTGGGCTCTCATCCTGGAGAAACCGCCGAGCTTTCCAGCAGCGCTCTCATGACGCCTTTGGGACTATGTGAGATCAGATGCCTTCTCTATGTGGGCTAGGGGACATAGAACTGCCACCAGTCCATTTCCAAAGAAGAAACCAATGGTCAGGGAGGCCCCGCTGTCACTCACCAGGCTTCTCGTGGCCGGTGCCCTTGCTCTCTGCAAACTTCCTGAGAAGCATGTCCACTGTCACATTTTCCACGTTCTGCTTAAATTCTTCGTGCACCTGGTAGGGGGCAGGGCATGAGGAGTGGGCCCTCGGTGGGCGGGACGGGAGGGCGGGGCCTATCCTCACCTGCCCGATCTGCACGTGGGTGTCCTCCACGGAGTGTGCATAGGAGCCCAGCAAGGCCTTCATGTGCTGCAGGTGGGCCTCCTCCATGGCCTGAAAGCGCTGAGATGGGAAGGGCATGTGACCCAGGCTGACCAATCAGATCAGTCCCGCTTCCAGCTCTGATAGGCTTAGGGAAGCGTGAGACTCTGCATTCGGATTTTTGGGGTAAGTTTAAAGCGCACCGCTGCCCCCAACCTCCCCGCCCCTATGTGCCTGCCTTTGATCCCAGCACTGGAAGAGACAGGAGGATCTCTGAGTTCGAGACTAGCTAGTCTACATAGTGAGACCTGTCTCAAAAAAAAAAAAAAAAAGGTTCCGCTGGATCAGAGACGCAGCTACTCTTTGTATACACACAAACACCCCAGTGTGTCCTCTGCCAGCCTAGAAGTGAGGTCCCTAGAACCAAAGACCAACCGCAGAGACGACATCCTATTAACGCCATTGGACCGCCTGGATTCAGCCATGCCTGATGCCCCGGCAGTAGCAAACCCATGTTGCAGGATATTTGTTTGCACTGATAAAGATATGTCTATCGGGCACCTGATTGGCTTAATAAAAAGCTGAATGGCCAATAGCTAGGCAGGAGAGGACAGGCGGGACTTCTGAGCAGAGAGAGGAACTTTGGGTGAAGAAAGGCAGGATTTATCAGCGAGACATGGAGAAAGTAGCACATACAGAAGAGAGGAGAGGTAAAAAGCCACATGATGGACATAGATTAATAGACACGGGTTGACCTGATTCGCCGATACCTAAGCCAAGGCCAAGCCTTCATAATTAATAAGTCTCCATGTCATTATTTGGGGACTGGTGGTCCAAAGAATGTCTTACAAGAAAGACCCGCTATATTTGACACCCAACACATATATTCATGGGTAGAGCAGCTGACGGTCTACCTGATGAGAGACTAGATAGAAACGCCTGCCAAAGCACGGACCACCAGCTTCCCAGTGCTGGAGCACTGACCCTGCTCTCAGGGGCCATTGCCCTCTGGAAAGGCAAACAGCCTCTGCCCAGAACCCATCGTAAGGGGGCAGAGGTAGCCCGCAGCGCATGTGCTACGGGGAACGCCTAGACAGGGAGCCGACGGAGCTCATGCAGCCAGATACCCACACAAAAAGCCAGGCCCAGACTGAAAAAGACCTCCGAACAAGCTTAGACGCAAATTTTCAAAAATAAATAGTTTAAAAATAATAGTCTTTAAAGAGAGAATAAAGTAATACAAAAAGAATACACATTATACAAGGGGAAAATACTCGGGTGTCTGGATCGTGCATGGTGTTTGGTTGACTTTGAATTCTTTGAATGCTGATGAGCAAAGGAAGGGCAAACACTGCTGACAGACACTGCATCATAGAAAAAATTGCTAAATTAAACCAACCTATATATTTTGAGGATACTTTAACTTCAATTCCAACAACAAATCCATAAGTAAATCTGTTTAACTGAAAATTTCTTCTTTTTCTCAGAATGCCAAAGCTGGTGATATATTTGATATATAGCCCAGAATGACTTTGAATTCCTGATCCTCCTGCCTCGGGTCCCTGGGATTGAGGACAGGGCACCCCTGCAGGGAGTGTGGGGACCAGCCGCCACAGGGTCACAGGGCGAGGATCTCACCAAGGCCGAGTCTAGCATCTTGGTCTCAAAGTCAGCCCGGGCAGAGTTGTACTTATCCACAGAGCGTCGCAGGCTGTCGGCTGCCTTCTTGCTTTTGGTTTCTGCCTGGGAGTCATAAAGAGGACCGTGTGAGTCGCCATGAGCACCATCAGGCGGCTTTACCACCCTGCCAAGCCATCTTCTGAAATCAAGGGGAGATGGCCTCAGTTTAGTGCCCAGCGCTTTGGGACATGCTGTCTCTCTCTGGTCAGGAGGCCAACAAACCTTGTCCATCTCCTTCTGGCTGGTGTTCTCTCTGCGCAGCCGCTCCACATCCATGCAGCGGCTCAGGTAATTCTCCCGAGACTTTGGCAAGAGCTGACCTACGCTGGCCAACACCTGCACTGCATCCACAGTGCCCAGAACTTCCTCCTTGCACTGTAGGTAGGGAAAAGCAGGGAAGGGCTTTGGCTCAGGGGTGGAGTGACAGCCTGGGATCCCCAGTGAGGGGCTGGGGGCGTGGCTCAGGGGGTGGAGTGACAGCCTAGAATCCCCCAGTGAGGGGCTGGGGCGTGGCTACGGGGTGGAGCCTCTGCCCAGGCTCCCCCAGGGAGGGGCGGGGGCGTGGCTCAGGGGTGGAGCTTCTGCCTAGGCTCCCCCAATGAGGGGCGGGGGCAGGGTGCCTACGCATGCTTTCCCAGTTTCATCCACACACACCCTTAAGCTGCAAGTGGGTGGACAGGCCCATCTCGGGTCCTGAGTGCCCCAGGGCCCCTGCATGCCTGCCAAGGCAGCTTCTACCTTCTTGTGGGCCTTGAGCTGCTCCTCGCCATAGCGCAGCACGTCCTTGAGGAGGTCGTGAAGTTTCCGTGTCAGCTCCAGGTGGCACAGTGCCAGCTTGTCCGAGGACACACGGAAGACCTCCCAGAGCGGGGCGAAGGTCCTGGGGACAGAAAGAGTCCAGAGTATCTAATACCCCCGGGGCCCTCACACAACACAGCTGTCATTGCTGATATGGAACTCGGCAGAAGTTGAGTCCTTCAGGTCCCGGGTTGCCTTAACCAGGGTTCCCCCAAACACACCCAGCTGCACTCACCCCATCGGGGTACCATTGCTGGCGAGCTTGGACAGCTTGGCCATGGCCTTCGAGTATGTCTCTTCGATGCTGGCCCTGGATCGGAGAAAGGGAAAAGACAGGCAGATTCAAGTATCCTGAGACAGGCCTTTCTCTGCCTCAGTTTCCCTCCATCCCTACACCTTGCTCTCAAAACAAAGTTTTGAAAACTGATTGGATAATTTTGTTTTTCCTTAAGTAATCTTTTTAATTTTAGGTTTTTTTTTTTTAATGGTCTGTATATGTGGCCTAGGCGGGCCTCAAACTCGTGGTAGCTTTGCCTCAGCTCGCCCTAGTGCTGGTTATGCGGGTACACCATCATGACTGCATCACGCATGTTTCCACTTCTGATGCCAGGACTCAGGATTTTAACCCCCTCCCAAGAGTAAGTGATCTTATTTTCAGTAGAGGGGGTATCAGACCCCTGGAACACGGTTTAAAAGGTGCATGCTGGCCAGTGAGACGGCCCAGTGGGTACAGGGCTTGCAGCCAAGTCTAAGATCTACCTGAGTTCAGTCTCCAAATCCCACGTGGTGAAAGGAGAGAACCAGCTTCACCAAGCTGTCCTCTGCCGTCACATGTGTCATGGAATGAGCACCAACCCCTCCACACGGGTAAATTCAAAATAGAAAATAAAATAAAAATAAACAAAGTGGCTTGAGGCAGAAATGGTTCCAATGGATTGGAGACCTTGAGGTGTCTAGGTCATCTGATTCCTGGAGACCCAGGAAATCTGCACCCTGGATCCTTCCTTGAATCCCAGTAAAAACCTTGTGAACCAGAGCCCTGGTAGGCATATCCCAGGGTGGACGAGCCCTGGGGTAGGCGGAGCCCTGGGGTGGGCATGTCCTGCGCCTCACCTTTCCCTAATGAAATCAGCCAGTTCCTTGGTGGCCACAGGGCCCTGCTTCACACAATGGTAGAGGACCTCAAAGCCATGGTTTTTGTCACCCTGTAAGGGATGAAAGAGATGTAGAAGGCAGAAAGGGGCATCCAGGTTGCCTAGCAACAGAGACAGATCTTTTGCGGAGGGCGGGGAGGTGAGACCTAACTGGATAGGCGGGATGCACTTCTCCCCTGGCCAGAGGGAAGCCTGGGACTTTCACTGCATTTTTAGGGCTCCATCATCTCCTTCTGAGTGTCCCTTTATGTGCCCAGAGGTCGACATCATGGGTCTTCCTCTATAGCCCTCTGCCTGCCTCTGCCTCCCTGCACTGTTACCTGTCCTGCCGTGCCAGCTTTTTACATGGCTGCTGGGGCCTTGAACTCAGATCCTGCTATTTGTGATGCAAGTACTTTTCCAACCAAGTCAGCAGGACAAACCCAGGTAAGCCTTACATCCGAATGTCCCTGCCACCGCCTCCATGCCCCACCCAGACCCATGGTTCTCAGCGGCCAACACCACAACAGTCCTTAATATGTTCCTGCTTCCTCACCTCAGCTCAGCTTCCTCCTGGCCCCAGCAGCTTCCCCACATTCCACAGCCCCATGGCTGCTCAGAGCTCCGGCCTCCACCCCACCAGAAGAATATATTATCTCTTCCAACTGAAGTGCGCCGGCTACTTCGGGTGGTGGCTGCACCATGCTGAGCCCTAGCTCTCTGATACGACAAATGGTGGCAATGGGCAGCAACTGCCACACAACGACTTTATGGGCAAGATGTGTCTGGTACTCTGCTGGACACAAAGGCCTTCTGGGTAATAGCGAGGTCTCCACACAGCTCCCACTGAGCCCACCTGCTGCTGCTGGGATCCTCGGGTGAGGCTGCACCAGGCACTGCCGCCTAGGCCATTATCTGGGGCTAACACAGAGTCAACCACTGGCCATTTTCCCAGACCTGGCAAGCCCTCAGCACTGTCTGCCTTAGCAAAGTGGGCAGACAGCCGAGGGTCTGAGGAGAGATGTCCAGAGCCTGTGTCTCTGATCAGAACCTCTGGGTGACAGCCAAAGAACACTTCACCGCTTCATACCCCTCTAGTGCCCATGCATCTGCCATGGCTTCCCAGTGCTCTCTAGGCTTGTGACCCTAACTGGTCTCAAAGGAACTGGGCACCCCCAAGCATTGGGGCGTGGTTCAGGAGGGAGCCCCTGCCTAGACTCCCGAGTGAAGGGATGGGGGCGTGGCTCAGGAGTGGAGCCTTTGCCTATTATATTTGAAGCACTGGGCTTCATCCCTAGCAGGGAATTAGAAGAAAAGGAGTCTGATATCTCAGCCACACATCCGTGTCCCAGAAGACAAAATTCTCATTCATTTGCAAAACCTCCTGAGAAAATGGAGGCTGGTTTACCAGCCCCTTCCCAAGGAGAACCTCTGAGCCAGTAGGACCCTGACTCAGGGCTGAGCCCTCGCAGCTGTTCTATCTTGGGGTGTGTATGGGAGGGAGGTTGGGGTGGCTTCTATTCTCTCCTCGCTCATTGACTTCTTCCCCCATTTTCACACCACATGGAATATGAAACACTGGCAATCCCGTAGGAGTTACTGCCACTGCTCCCAAATGTGGGTGTCTTCTGGACTGCCGCTGTAGTCCAGCGGTTCTAATGACAGCCCAGAGAGCAACACCTCGGGGGGGGGGGGTCACACAGCCATTCAGAGGCCATGGGAGAGACTTGCAGGTGGCAAGGGACAGCCGGCCCTTTAAGAAAGCAGAGTCTAGTAAGAGGAGTCCCAGCTGGGGAGGGAGTATGGGAGGGAATGGGGCTTGTTGCTAGGGGCAACCGGTTGCTTAGCAACCAGCTACCACTTTGCAAGCTGTGGGCCTACTGGGGAGGAAGGGACCTTTCAGCCTGATGCCTCCTAGACTCCAGGCTCCCATTCTGGGGCTGCTCCTGCATCCTCGGTGGCTCCCCAGTTCCCTACCCAACCAACCCGGAAGGGACGTTGGTCCTTGAGTGCCACCAAGTGTCACACCTTTGAAATGGACTCAGGGTGTTTCTTGTGGTTGTAATAGATTTTGCACATCCTAGAAACCGGCCTTCAGGGCTACTGCAAACAGGGTTATGGGGAGCCCTGAGATGGGCTGAGCCGCACGATCTGGCTCTGTGACAGCCTAGACCCCATTTGCAGCAGGCTTAGGTGGCGAAGAGGGCAGAGATTGGGGGGGGTCAATCTCCCCCCCCCAAAAAAAATTCCAAGATTAAAAAAAAAAAAGGCATGGAATTTGGAATTTCCCTGGATGGCTTGCCCAGATCTGGGAAGTTCAGTTTGGTCCCAGGAGCTAGTGAGGCAGGCTTTGGAACATGCCATTTGTGGAAACACGTTACTGTGTAGCCCAGACTGGCCATTCTCCTGCCTCAGCCTCCCTAGGTCTGCAATCTCAGGTATGTACTCCACACCCAGCTTTGCATTGTTCTCAGACTTGATGCTCAGTGTTACAGTTTGTGTTCCTCGCTGAGGTCAAGGCACCTTTGTCTGCATGTTTAAATTCTACTTCCAGCTGTCCAGTTCCACCTTGACCATAAAAGTCCCTACAGCCCTTTGGGAGCCTTTGCCAAAATAAGAGCACTGAAAATGAGAAGGAAGCAGAAGTAGCAGCAGGTCTTACCCAAAAATGCTCCCCAAAATATGACATCCTGCTGGCCTCCGTCTAGTATCTGTCTGAAAAGAGAGGTGAGTTTGAGGGTCTGAGTCATAGCTAACAAGGGCTTGAACAGGGAAATTCCACCCTCCCTCCCTGTTGCAGGGAGGACTAAGGAAGTGAAGCCGAAGGCAGGAGCAGGTCAGGCCGCCAGAGATGCCCCAGCCTGGGCCCTGTGGCCCAGGGTAACAGGACACTTAGGTCTCAGTCGTATGGGGCTAGGATGGAGGGGCTGTGGTGGGAGGGGTTTTAAAGATGGGTAGACGTTTGTGAGCAAGGACCAGAGTGGTAGTGAATGAGCTGAATTCTAGACAGAACTGGTCTAGTTCGTTTCAGATGTAGGGAAACTGAGTCAGTTCCCAAGAGGGGAAGTTACTTGCCAAGGTCAAACGACAGGAAGGGACAGTGGGTTTCATGTCTGGAGCAGTGGGGAGTCAGCATGATGTACTGGGTCCCCAGAGTGTCGTGGACAGTTTCCCCCACCCAGGTCAGGAGCTCCATGGGTCTCAACCACCCCTCGGAAGCCACCATTCACCTGGCTCCAAGTCACTCAGCTCTGTGCCTCAGTTTCTCCATCTGTAGGAGACAGAAAAGCCAGGAACGGCTTTGTTGGAGACTTCAGGTCACGGCACAGAGGGGTGTGCAGAGTCCTTGGCACAGCAAGGCTGGGCTGTCACGGGAGCTGGTGCTCTCATCCATAGTTGATGAGCTGCTTGGTGACAGCCCAGGCCCAGGAGGCCCAGCAAGACTAGACGGGGCCAGCTGACCACAGGATCAGACTGCCCTAGCCCCACTGGCCTAGCCCCACTGGGAGAGGACCCACTCAGTCCTGAGCCTCAGTTTACCTAACACTAAAAGTTAGCTGTGCTTTGTTTTTTGTTCCGTAGCCCAACCTGGCCTGGAACTATGGATCCTCCTGACTCAGCCTCTAGAGTTCAGGGACTCAAGCTGCATGTCACTGTACATGGCAGGTTCCCCCAGCGCAGCGTGAAAGATGGAACACTGGGAGGGACATGGCAGCATATTCCTCCTGAGGCCCTAGAGCACGCATAGGAGTTTTCCAGGGACAGGCGTCTGCCCTCCCACCCCTGCTTGGGCAAGGCTTCCAGAAGGCCCTTTGCAGGGAGGAAAGCCCCAGACGGCCAGACTGTGGCTTGTCTTTTGTTTCACTGGACTCTTGAAGCAGGATCTCACTTTATACCCCTGGCTGCCCTTGAGCTCATGTCTATCCTCCTGCCTCGGTCTCCCAAGCACTGCAGCAACAGCCTGGAGCCTCCACACCACCTTCCTCCTGTGTCCTGGTGCCTGTGGGATCCAGCCAGCCTATCTGAATCCCTAAAATGTGCTGAACGACGGGGACCCAGTTGCCTACACCTGCCACCTGCGTGGCAACACGGCCACCCCTGCGGCCAGGCCCTCACCCGTACAAGCCTGGGAGCCACAGGGGAGGTGGTGGCCATCTGCGTTAGGCTAGATAAACTTGTCAGGTTGAAGAGGCTCTTGGGTAATGGGTTCTGGTCCCGGAAGTCATCAATGTCACCAGAGTTCCCCCATCTCCCCTCCGCCACATGCAAGCCCCTGAGGAGTCACACCTGCTGTCCCGAACTCCACACACATCGACTCACGCCACCAGCCATCCCAACCCATGTCAGACACCACCTCTCATGGCCACAACTGCCCACCTGGCTGCCCAGAACTCCACCCAGTAACCCTTGAAAGGCTGACCTGGGTGGCAGGAGGCGGTACCCAGGATGGGCCCTGATGCTGCCACCTGGCCTAGAAGTGACAGCTATTGCTGCCCCCAGACCTGAGCCCACATGTGGGACACCTTCCTGTCCTGTTCTGAGGTGACAAAGATGGGCGGCACAGTCAAACTCACCGATGGGCACCGTGGGGGGGGGGGTAAGGCCAGGGCCCCTGGGGCAGAGGGTAAACACCAGGAGGCTACAGGCCCCGACACTTCCGCCAGCCCTGCGTGGAGGCCCCTGTGTCTGGAGGAGGACAGGAAGCCTGGCCCGCCCTGCTTGCCACCCAACCGTCACTTCCCCGCCCAGCACCCCTGGGACCTCCCCACAGCCACAGCAGCGCGGGAGGGTGGGGCTGGGAGAGCAGGTGGGGGCGACATGATTATTCCCAGAGACACACTAATTAGAGCCCCTACCTTGGCCCAAGGAGGTCAGGGTAACCAAGAGGGGAAACTGAGACTTGAAGATGTATGAAGCCTCTCCCTCAGACAAGGAAACTCAAGCATTCTCTATAATGACTTCAGGATCAACAGATAAAGTTTGTTTTAGACAAGGTCTCATGTAGCCCAGGCTGGCCTTAAATTCACTATGTAGCAGATGAAGATGGAAGACAATTCCTGATTCTCCTCTCCCCACGCCTGGCTTCAAAACGTAAATTCTGAATACAGTGCCCCCATCCCCATGTTCTTGGGGTAGTTTTGTTTTTTACCAATGTGATTTGAAAAGAAGCTAAACCACTTCCAAAACTCCTAAAAATATTGTGAACCTAAGACAGTTTTCCTAATGTAACCCAGGGCTGCCTGGCCTCTGCAACATCAGAAGGAGGCCCAGAGATTGACAGACATTTGCTCAGCATCACACAGCAGTCCCCATCCCCCACCCACCAATTCCCCAAAACCCGGGGCCTGGGTGTGCGAACAGCAGCCTGGGTACAGAGGGCAGGCATGGTTGGGTCAGAGCTGGCACTCTGGATTTTGGATGTGGGCTGGCAGGGCCCACAGCCCTTGCCCCCTCTGTGTCCCCAGACTTCAGCCAGCACTCCATGTGGAGCTGAGGGCCCCATACCAGCCTTTGGCTGTCATTTCATCCAATGAACACACATTGAGCACCACTGTGTACTCCAGTCCATACTGCCAGTGATTCTGGTCACACCCTTCAAAGACATCCATTTTCTCATCAGCTGTGACCCCATTTAGTGAGTGCAATATCATAATTAATATCACCAGGAGAGGGTGTTTACAGCGCGCTCCCTCCTACTGGCACCTCTGATCTTCCCACGGGGTTTCAGCTCATTTCACAGAAGGCTCAACCAGTTGGAGTACACCAATTTGGGGGTGTCAGGCTTCCTGTCTAGGGCTCACCTCACTGTCCTGCAAGGGACTGGGGTTAAGTGCCTGGCCTCCCACCTGGGACCTGACCCAGGAACCGGCTGGGCCCTGGTGTAGGTGATGGTATGTGGGTCAAGTGTGACTCAGGCAGCCACACCGGTGGGACTGGGGTGATGGAGGCCAGGTCTTGATTGCAGGCGGGTCCTGTCTTATGATCATGTGGGAACTATCCTCTCCTGGCCCTAGCTTCCTCTGGGAAGGCCAAACTGTACCCATCAATCAATGTCATGGTTTGTTTTCGTTTATGCTTTTTTTTTATGAGACAGAATCTGGCTATGTAGCCCAGGCTGGCCACAAGCTGCAGATCTTCCTTCTGGCTCAGTCTCCCCAGGACAGGAAAGACCCTGCCAGGCTCAACCCATTTTAAAGGGCCGAAAACTGAGTCTCTCCCAACCTTCGGCCAAAGACTGGGATCCCCATCTGGCGAAAATGGGGTGTACGTATTGGGAATCTGAGACAGTCTCTTCAACCTCTACATTCCAAAGAGGAGACTGAGGGTCAAGAAGGTGCTGTCACTTGCCCAAGGTCACCATGAAACAAGTCCCGCGATGTTGCCAGCAGACAAGCAGAGGGGCTACCGCCCCCAACCTCCTCCGCACCCCATCCTCAGTCACCTCGAATAGTTCTGTTCCTGGGAGCAGATGCAGGCCGCCTCTCTCAGAGCGCGGGAGTCCCCGGTGCGGGCTCCAGGCCTCTCCAGGCCCCGCTCGTCAGGGAGCGGACCCCAGTTTCCCCGCGGCCCCACGCACTGGCCCTGCAGAGCCCCCACCTATCTGCCAAGCTCCAGGCGGGTGCAATGGGAGGGAGGTGAGAATGGGGACCACATGGGCAGGGAGGGAGGTGGCCCCCACCTCAGGGTCTGGGAGCTGAGGGATAAAGACCCAGAGGAGGGATCTGGGGGTCCTCGGGGTCCCCGCTTCCCAATTCTGGATTGAGGAGGACACCAATGGAGCGGCGCCCCGCCTTCTACAGAGGGCATCTGCTTTGGGGTCAGATCAGGATAAAGGCTGCGCCCGCGTCCCGCGTCCCGCGCCCCGCGCCCGGGGGACACTCACCCCGAGCCGCCGCCACCTGCGCGCTCCAGACCCGCGGCCCGCCCTCCCCTCG